AAGCTGCCTCATCGGCAATTTGAAAAATTATATTTCGCATTTGAATTGAGACCTGAAAACCTCATAACTTTTATTTTCCTAGGAACCATAAAAGTACTTTGAAGGTTTCTGTGCTTCTTGCCAGCCATGAGCCCTTTTCCATTAACAGTGCATTGCATATACATCTTTTATGCAAAGAGTCTGATCATAACTTGTTTTTTGTCTTTTCTTTGCAAGAGTGTGCACCGTTTGTTTCAGCTGCTGGGTGAGATCATCAGAGGAGTGGCATCATATGCATAGAACACCTGTGATGCCAATAACTACAAGAAAATAGGCTTCTTAGAGTTTTGCCAGCTAAATGTGAGCATGATGAGGTTGCAGTGTTGGCGTTAGACCAGGTTGGCCAGACATCTGTCTAATTCTCAAATGACAAGAGTCCAACACATCATGGGTAGCTGGCACCACTACTGCTAGGCTCTTCTTCACAGCACGCGGGAACACGATCTAGTCCCAGCACTTGTTGACACGCTGAGGAGGTGGTTCAGTAGTTTAGTCATTCACATATTTAAAACATGAAGGGCAAATTCCTTTGAAGACCGGAGCTGGCAACATTTGCTTTATGTGCTCGTAGTCTAATGATAGTCAGCCTAGGTCCAGCAGTTCAATTAGATACCTTAACTTTCAATATAGCTGTTGTCAATCTATTATCCATTAAGTTTTCTATTTGTGCTCAGTTTGCATGAAACACTTTCTCTTAGCTTTCCATTTCCCAGAACTTTAAGTCATCAGTTAACTCTAGTTCTCATGCTCATTTTGCTGTATTTTTCATTTTCTAATGAATTTTCTTACACATGTTGCTGCATTTTGGCTGAGTGCACTGTTTGCATCTGCAGGTCAGCTGTTGCCTTTTCATCTGGCGTCAGGATGCCTTGTTTGTTCATATGTGCTGCCTGCCGTCAAAACTCATGTTCTTTACCTTAACTGGTGATTTTTTCAAATTGACCTGGAAGGTGAGAATGAACGCCTGTCTCATTCTATGTTTATTCAGCCTGTAACCTGCCTTTCTTCTGTGACTGCCAGCTGGGAAGGGCCTCAGCCCCCCTGCAACGTGCTGCAGAAATAATTGAACTAATTATGTTTTCCACTGAGGTCAAAGAAATCTCTGAAAGTTGTCATGATGTAATTTTTTTTGACTGCTTCACCATTACCTAGATACAAATAGGCATGTCGAACAGTGCAGGTGGAACAAATTAGGAAGAGGCAGGATGTGATTCTTTTTTTTCAAAACAAAAGCAAAAATGATGTCATTAAACCAAAAACAAGTAAAAGGTTCAGATTAAGCTACAGGAAATTGTATAAACGTGCAGTTTTGCTTGAAAATGGCTTTGATTGGTTGCATAATTGAAAAAAGATGAAGGAAATGATTTAGATGAGTTTGTTTTTTTATGTAAAAGAAAAAGCTTCCTCTGTGTTTAAGTGCCAGTAAAACACTGGGTGAGATGTATGGGAAAACAAGCTGAGACCTTGAACTGAGACCTTTTGTGGTTGTTGTATGCTGCTCTGGGAGACCTAATGGATACACCAAGCTGTGAGGATAGTGAGCTCTCTGTGCACTAAAGATTGCAAGGGAAAAAAATACCTGGGTTTTTTTAATAAGATTTCTTAAACACGTTTTAACATTTTCCTGATTTTTAAGATCTTCACCAACTCCATAAACAATCTTCCAGTCATCTGATTGTTGTTAACAGATGTTTAACTCTATTTGGCTCTTTTATTAGCAGTCACCAAATGTTTCCATATGTCGGCCATATTGAGGTGGGGGATGGATTTTGATCATGACAACTCAAAGCAAATCATACCTCTTTATGTCAGGGCGTTGTACATAAGGTGTCATGTCTCAAACAGTGTTTACTGTTTTTTTTAATACTTCATGTCAGAATTTGTTACATACTGAATAGGGACATTTAGAGACATTCATAGTAGAACAACTTTTCTTTCCAATCCTGTGTTAATTTAACATCTTTAAGTCTAAATGATTCAGCTCTTATGAGTACAACCTGTAAGACTCATGCAATGCAGTCATAGCTGTAACTTTCTGGGGGATTGCTTTCCCTGCACAGAGAGGGACGCGATAATGTGGGGAAAGTCCTATTTAAGTACTTAGGAAACTGCAATAATTACTGAAATTGTTCCTCTTATAATTCACATGACCTTTCCCAGTTTTTTCATTTTGCAACTATAGAGTTTAGTATTTTGGGGAGGGGTTATAACTACTAGATGAAATTAAATTGTTTATATAGTGCAAGGAGAGGAGCACAGTTCTTTCAAGATTTTAAAAAGTGTGTAAATTTGATAGTCTGCCAGAGTGACAAATACTTTCTGCTACCACCTTTAGCTGCAGGTGCAGATCTCTTCTCATATAAGGACTGAAAAGTTTTGCAAAACAACTCAGTCAGATGGGCTGGAAAACATCTGTAAATAAATGCAAAAGTTTTGCAAGATGATCTGAAGTTGATTTAATAATAGGATTTAATCGGGCCATTCAGATACATTAAAGGAATAGTACACCCAAAACATGATTAGCCTTCATTTTCTACTCATTTTCTACTCATTTTCTGGTTTGGTCTGCCGGAAGCCGGCAGACCAAACCAGATGAAAGTGCGCATTCAGCGTCTGCTCTGCCGATAATGCAAGCGTAGAAGAAGAAATTTGCTGTTTACCTTTGCAAAGAAAGAAACAACGAAAGAAAAATGTCTGAGGACTTCAGTGTTGAGGAAGAGCATGAGTTCTTTGCCGAGCTGAATGCGCACTTTCATCTGGTTTGCTCTGCCGCGGTTTCCGTAGCGTCGTGAACTCAGGAAATCCTATACACTACTGTTTATGCTCTAAAAACATTCTAAATGACTTCGTTTCGAGTAAATTCTGGATGCTACCCACTCAGGACACTTGGAATACATTGGACGAGCAGTATGGAGGAATATTGACACGTTTTTTGTGGACTTTTATGGACCTTTCTGCCTCGGGCACATAGACCTCCATTATTTGAATGTCAGCAGACAGCAAGAAGCCTCCCAGATCTCCAGATGCATTTGAGATATCAAAAAAGTACTCCAGAGTGTTGTTCAGCATGGGGGTGAGTAGAAAATGAAGGCTAATCATGTTTTGGGTGTACTATTCCTTTAATGCCCTGTGATTTGATTTATACCACACTGTTGTAGAAATGGGTGTGCATTTGAAACTTTGCCCCACTCTCTGGTTTTCTTTCAGGACTTTTATAAATAAATACATAAATTGAACTTTATTGATCTAACAATGGAGAAATGAACTCTCCGCATTTAACCCATCCCCTTTGGGGAGCAGTGGGCTGCCATTGTGCAGCGCCTGGGGAGCAATCAGGGGTTAAGGGTCTTGCTCAGAGACACAGAGTGGCATTCTGTGTGAGTGGGTTTCAAACTCACAACCTAAAGATTCAAAGCCCTATGCCCTAACCACAAGAACCTCCACTCCCCCAACTCCCTGCTTTTATCTCCCATCAAGATGAACTGTATTTGCTTTATTTGCCGAGATCTGTTCCGATGGCATGATGCTGCCACCGCAGTGTGCTCAAGGTCATATTAAGTTTTAAATTTCTGACACACATACTGTTTTGTTTGTAAAATATATCTTGCCTATAATCTGATCAGAGCACACTCTAACACATTATATAAGACTGACTTTTACCTTTCTCTTCTATTCACCCCAAATTTAATTTCCCTTTTCATTTACAAAAAGTATTTTTTAATTGATTTTTATTGAAATGTGGAGTGTTTTTTCCCCCTGTCTACATTGTGCATCTTTGAACCTCCTTTAGAGTATTAAAGGACCTCTAATAACCCAACTTGATCTATGGTCGCCTTGTTTCTATAGTCCTCTTTAAAGGGATTATAAAAACATGATGAGATGAGCTCTGACCAGTGGGACTGCTCTTGGTAACTCTAATCCCATCAAAGTCGACCACAAACCTCTGAGATCTGAAGCTAATATAGGGAGAATGACAACAGTCTTTCCATTACCTTCAGCTGCTAGAAAATAGCCTGACATTTATCATAATTAATGCTTTATTTCTAGTTCAAAAGTGGTGGGGGGGTGGGGGCGGACTTTGGAGGTTTTACAGAAAGCTGCTCTACTGGGAGAATCAGACGGGATCCAGTAAACATCTTCTTTTTAAATGAATGCCTCCCTCAGGATATATCTTTATATCTTTATTGCTTTACAGACTCCTAAACTTTGTCCTTTGTGTCATACGGTGCTTTGAATTAAGCTAAAATCTCATGAAGCTTCGATGAATTGCAATAAAATTATATTTATGACAGCAGGGAAGGATTTGGAGATCATATGAAGACATCCATCCATCTCCCTTCCAACAACTGTTTTCATACTGTATAATTTAGTGGCATTCCTTTCGCTAAGATGGTTTTCATTCAGACCCAGTGTTAGTGTAAATGCACCTCAAGCGAAAAGTGTCCTCATTCCTTAAGCACAATTGATGATATCCCAGGGCTTATGGCTGTCTTTAACTTTCCCTCTGAGAAGGTAATGACTGAAAATTGGCCTCATCAGGGGAAAAAAGTCGTCCAAATTACGTGCTTAAAAAAAGGTTTATGGATAAAGGGCTAAAAAGCTCAGGAGAAACTATGAGTTTTGTTTAAACTTTCATCTTTGAAGGAGTTGATTACCAAGTTAGCAGTTCCTAAACTGCCTTAGACCAGCAGATGTGATTCAGCTCATTTCAAAGCATTCATTTCTTGTGTTTATGGCCAGACATGGTAAATGAGCATGTATACCAGAGCTGACCTAGACAGTACGAGCCTCAGAAGTGTCATCTTTTCTTTTTCCGTCCTTTGTTATGATAAAGGTCAGCCTTTTTTTTTGGTCATTTTTCTATTCTCACACGTCTCTTACATCATGCACTATTTCGGTGAATGGGTTTGTTTATTTTGCTAGTCTGACATCTTTTTGTGTGGATGTATGTGTGTGTGCAGCTCAGGACAATCCAGACAGCCCGAGGCACAAGTACAACTTCATCGCAGACGTGGTGGAGAAAATCGCTCCCTCTGTGGTTCACATTGAACTTTTCCGCAAGTACGTACAAGTTGTTCATCTGTATGTGTGTTTCTGTGGTTGTGGGAAAGAGTTGCAGACTGAAATTTCCTTTCATTTCACCAGATTTTGTCTGTCTGTAACACCTCAACTTTTCCTGTCAAAGTTGTCTGCAAAGTGCCCTATTAAAATCTTTATCTACCTTTACCTCAGATGCCTTCTTATTCTCACCATTTTAACTTTGAATGGCCAACTTTTAGTTACTGGTACAATAGAAATTGGCTGATTACCAGAACTGTTAATAGTTATCACAATATTTAGATCTACAAAATCACAATCTTGATGGACATCTATGATGTATAATTTGACACCTAATGATGTTTTAGGTACCATCTATTAAAGCTCTACTTGCAAATTTTAGAAATTGTCTTTGTCTCCATCCTTCATCCACCATTATAATGTATTTTAGAGCCATCTGGATAACTGAGCCCAAGGAGAAAGAAAAGCCAAGGAGAAAGAAAAGAACACTGTCAAGATGAAAAAGAAAGACCAGACAAAATAGGTGTTAATGAAGTGAATCAATGATTGTGATTAACACTCAATATTCAGAAAAATACAAAAAAAAAAATGTATTCCTTAGATGATGCAGCTATGATTATCCTTTTTAATTGGTGCTTGTTGGAAACCAAAAAAATCCTGCCCTGTCTTGTCCCACCACCTCTAAACACGCTGCACTGAAAAGAACCCTTCTCTGTAAAAGCGACTCAAGATTATCTATTCCAATATGTGTTTGAAAATAAAGAAGCCATTTAAAAAAAAAAAAAAAAAAGCAGCTGTTTTCTTACATGGAATCTCAGCTACTGATATGAAAAATCAATTAAAACTTTTGGCAAAACTCAACAATAATAAATAACTAGGAATTCCTTCTCTGTGCTGTAGTTTTAAAAGCTAAAACCAGTAACTGCTGGTCAAACCTTTTGAGACCAAAGAAAAGTCTAATCGGTGCTTTACTAGTAATATATCCATTTTATAGAAAGAAAACATGCACAGAAAATACTATGTCCCTCCTCGGCTAAGCCGATATGCATATTTGTTGTTCTGTAAGTAAAAGACATTTCCTGCCTTTTTCTTTTCCTTTGTAGGATGACTTATACCAAGCGAGAGGTGGCTGTGGCCAGCGGCTCTGGTTTTGTCGTGTCAGAAGACGGTCAGATTGTGACCAATGCCCATGTGGTGGCCAATAAACACAGGGTGAAAGTGGAGCTAAAGAGCGGCGCCTCCTACGATGCCAAAATCAAAGACGTGGATGAGAAGTCAGACATCGCCCTCATCAAGATTGATGCACCGGTCAGTCCATGTTTGACTCAGAAGGAGGGTGTAAAGAAGCACTTTCTATGTACTTCTTGTTGCCTATTTTAGTATGAATCTCTTCAAGGAGACCTGGTTTTAATACTTTGAAAGATGCACTTTGTTACTGAAAAAAAACAATGGAAAACTTAAGGATTCTTAAATGCAAGGTTTGTTAAAAGGATAAAACTATACTGCTTTACGTAGAAAACAAACCATGTCTTCTTTAGTAGAAATCCAGATTATTTAGTCCAAGGGGAAGAAGCCAACCGCTGCTCCAGGAAGGGCTAAGATCAAAGTGAATATCCAGCCTCAAAAACATCAAGGCAGCTTTGTAGGCAGTATTTTATGTTCCACTGTGTTACAGGCAGGTTATTCTTGCAGATACTGATACTGAGCTAATAAAGAGAATCTATTGTCAACTGCCTTTATTTTACTATTGCAATTAAATACTTTGAGTATTGGCACGATGAAGCCTTGGCAGTTTGGGAATTGAAGGCATCTGTGATGAGAATATAAGAAAAGGTACGCTCAACTACGAAGGCAGGAAAGTCTATAAGAGCTCCTCACAGCTTACAGTGTGCACAGTGGTATGTGTGAGCCTTATTTAATCACAGTAGCATAGGCATAGACTTACAGTTAAAAACTTATACTGTTAATTTAAAAGGATGCATATGATTATATGTGTTTAACCCGAATAAAAGTCGGATTCTTGTCGTTTTCAATGGCTGACCTTGCGGTCCATGTTCGCAAGCCATGCTCTGCAACATTCGGCACTCAACCTCACAGTTTGTCCTATTTTCGGAGTTGTTTTTAATGGAAACTACTTTGCCACCGTATGCAATGTTGGAGCATCCATCACGCATCGTGAAATAACAGATGCATGTTTGTAGGAATAAAGCAATAAATTAAATACTCTTCCGTAGTCAAACCTAATCAGCTGTTTTTAAAGCCACTCTGCCTGCTCATACGGCGGTTAGCGACAAAGTGTATCCAGATGTGTGATGTCACATGGGAACTTTGTTTTCATTTTCACACTGTCTCACTTATATTTTGGTAGTCTAGATATTCTGACTGGAAATGCTGTTGCACTGTGATCCCAGTACAACAGGAGGTTCAACAGTTTGCCATGTAAGTTAGAACTGTTTACTGGGATCTAGTAACTGAGATTGCTGTTAGCTAGATAGGCTATGTTCACTTTATCCCCTGAGTCTAAACTTAGAAAATAAGATAATAATGTACATCTCTCTGACTCCCTGCAACGCCTTTTTTTATAACTCAAACTATAATTGTTTTATTTGATTTGTTTTAGTAAACATTTGTTACATCATCTAACTGGTACTTTCAATTAATAATTGCATGAAATAGGAAGTTTTTTTTTTATGACATAATACAACACCTTGAAAAAATAAAAGTCCTGTTATGTTACTGTCCAAAGTCCCAATAATACCAAACTTATTACTACTGATAATGTGGAGGTAACCATCCCCAATAGAAGTTTCTGGCATAAACATAGTGGACCAGTTTTTATATTTTCCCTTCTTTAAAATAAGTTTTAACTGGGAGATCAGTGCTAGATCCTGATCTGTTCCTGCATTTGCCTTAAAGCTCATATTTGCTCTATGGAAAAGAACCAGCCTAAGAAAAAGTGATAAATATTGAAAGCTTTACACATTTTTGCAACTTCAAAAATATGTCTTTCTTTTGCTAGAAATTCACCACAGCTACTAGCTAATTAGGATTTATAATCAATGATTATGACAAAGTTAACTGCTTCTAACCTTTTAACAAAACCTCACTTCAGAAATCCTGTCCTTTCCCCTTTATAGTCTCTGTTTAGAGACTCACAGCTTAGATTTCAGGACAGTTCTGTTTGAAGCGAGAATAAACAAATGAGTTACAGCCAAGCTTAGTGTTTGGTTGTTGGATCAAGTTTTTAAGCAAATCTCAAAGGTGGCGTCTTGAAGAAATAATGCTTTGAGCAGGTATTGGAGTTTTTGTGCTGTACAGACAAGATCAAAACCGTATTGCTTCCAATACATCAGCCAGGAACTGCTGCAAATATTTAAAGTTATTGGACTCAACGTTTGTATAAAAATGCTGTAAATCTTGCAGGTTTTCCAGAGTGCAAAAGATGTAAAGTTAGAATGCAGGTGTAGTGATTCAAGTCCAGATCCTATCTGTGTTGAGACACAATCTGTGAGAATACATCGCCGTTACTAAACGGCTCTTCTCACGAAAAGCCGATAAAGACTATAGCCTATAACTTACTGAAAGGTGTTTTATGAAAAGGGCAACGCATTTACCAGAGTCCATCTGTTTGTCAGATTTTCTCTCCCTCTTCACGTCCCTGTCTGTCTTTATTTCGCCGTCTACTGGACAAGAGGGATTCATGTTGGATGTTAATCATAGTGCTGTGCAGGAATGTTAGGCAGAGCGCCAAGGCCTATTGACTGCGAGTAAAAGCAGGGCTGAGTGAATTGTAAAGCTCGCTCACAAAGTTGAATGACACAGCTGAAAGGATGGTCATGACTGCAACACAAGGTGTTTTACAAAGACTTTGATTGATTCCAAGGAAAGACTCTTTACATTTTTTATTTAGCCAAGAATGTGGGCAAAGGTGCAGAAAAATACAAAGACAGATGTTTTGTGTTTGCTCATTCTTCAATAAAGGCGGATGCATCTGTTGATGATGGCCTATTACTCGATATAGGGGGCTTCCCAACCTGCTTACACCACATTTTTGGTGGGTAGTGACTATGCTGACTCAGGAGGGACAAATGCTCTTGTACGTGGCGGCATGACTGCGTTAATACAGGAGCTTTTGTTTTTACAAGGCCTACAAAAGCATTTTCATCCGATTGCCACCTAGACTTTTAAACATTTCTCTGCATTGTACCTTAAATCAACTACTTTCACCGTTTCAAAAAATTGAGTACTTAGAAAGATTAGTCAGATTTAGTGTTTAGATAACTACCGTCAGGTATGTAAATGACTGTTTTCAAGGAGCTGGAATGACTGAAACAACCACCGAAGGGTATAAATGATGGAATCACATGTCGATGGACATGTTATTTATTTTCTTAATGCCTTAATTTTATTAGGAAGATCATTGAGATCAGCGTCTATTTTCCTATGTTGTTACAAGATAAAATGTATATTAGCATAAGAATGTATGATCAAAATAGAATAACTCATTTTCAAAATAATACAGCCTTAAAGGTATAGCTTACTTTCCAAAAGAAGATTTGCAATCTTTCCACTATGTCAGACTCACTAGTGGTAAGTTAAAATGGGGATAAGCACGTAGGACGGCCTTATGTATACATATCAGAGGAATGGTTGACAATTTGAAGATCCACCCAGAAAATGAACATCCTCCACTATAACTTTAACACATGACAGGACAGCTAGTTGGGCTAGAAAGGAACATCAGCATTGTTGCATATAGCTGCTGTCTGCTTAGAAAAGTCAGTCTGAGGCTGGAAGGCTGTCAGATCGGTGGCAGTTCACCTGTTTTTTCTCCATCTTGCTAAAATATTGGAGGGAGTAACATCAAAGAATAAAACTCCAAACTATGCAAATTAAATTTTAACAAGTTGATCACAGCTTGGTAGCTTAATCGGCATAGCCTCTTGGTTTTAAGGCAGTCGGCTGGTCAGTTATTATTTCCATCCTTCTCTGCCTCTCTCCATTAACTTTCAAAGCTCAGTGGTAGATTTCTTTTTTAAAACTCTTAGCTTTTTTCCCCCGGCCAAACTCTTTAAATACAGGTCTAGAGTAGAAAAAAATTAACTTTTTTTTTTTTTTTACTAAATGTATGTAAAATTTGATCTTAACAGCAGTGCATGGTGATAGTCTGAAGCAAAGTCTTTGGGATAGATAACTAGGCTTTTGAAAGTGATGTTAGCTATTTCAGCAATCTGTGTCAGAATAATTTAATTTCGCATCTATAAAAAGGTATTTTTAAGGCCCGTATTTGTGTTTTCATACACTTTACACATTTTGATAAATAAGTTTTGATTAGTTTTGGCTTCTTTCTACTTTGATCAATGAATGATTTTAGATCATTGTGTCCTTTCCAATCTCAAAATAGCTATAATAAAAAAGAAAATCTAAACATTCAGATATCTTTCAGGGATTAGGAATTGCTTAAGATATAATAGTGCATACATAGAAAGAAGGAAGAAAAAGGAAGATTCATCATTGTTCCATTTTATTTTGCAGAATCTGGCATTCTATATGTGGCTTGTTATAAATAGACTTCCCTAAACACTGTACCCTTGATGTCAGCCTGGTAGGAAATACATTCATCCTCACAAGTGTACTTCTGTAATTTAGTGTTAGTCATTGTGTGAAGTTTTAGTGGCTCGTAAACACCCTGAGACCGTCTCACAAGAGCGGTGGTTTCTGTGAAATGGCTGCATCATTTAGGCAGAAATGTTTCTACTACTGTGGGCAGAAAAGCTTGCGTTTGATATTTAGAACAAGTGAAAGCTAATACCTGGAAACATGAGAGGATTTGGTTATAATAAGAAGGAAGGAAGACAAGCAAAGCTATCATTAACATCTGAAGGGTAAATGTCGCCATCCACGCCTGTACCTACAGTGTTACATTTTAATGTGTGAAAAGTAAAAGAGGGGTACGGATATTTCTTCTTTCATTAACTCCAGCCCAAGCTTTCAGATGAGAAACTTCAACAGACTTTCTTCATCTTCTCAAATTTGCTAAGGGATTGTGTTTTTAAAGAGGTTTAACTGTTAAATGAAAACAATTGAAGGAGCTATGAGTTTGGTTTGTAGAAAGTCGGACAAGAAAAGCTAATACAGAAAATTAATGACGGAAAACTAGAGATGTGGTAAAATTAGAAACAAACAAAATCAGTCGTCAAAATGACATTTTAGTCATGTAATGTCTATGCTTTTATTTAGCTTGAAAAAACATTTTAGAATATTTCTTTTTTCTTTTTTTACACTAAAATTTTCTTTATCTTCTTCCT